GAAATACATCAAAGACAACTACTGTATGATTTCACTTATATGTGGAATCTGAAAAACCTAACAGAAATAGGCATAGCAACAGAGCCACCAGGGAAGCACAGGAAATGGGTGAAAGTGGTCAAAGTTACAAAATTCTTTTTATAGATGAATGAGTTCTGGGGATCTAATGCAGAGCATGGTGACTATATTTAGCCATACTGTATTGTATACTTGAAAGTTACTGAGAGAGTAAATCTTAAGAGTTCTCATCACAAAAAGAAAGGTAACTATGAGGTGATGGGTGTGTTGACTATCCTTATTGAAGCAATTGTTTCACAATATATACATGTATCAAATCATGTTGTACACCTTAAACTTACACAATGATATATGTCAATTATATCTCAGTAAAGCTAGAAAAAAATAAAAGCATGCCCCCACACACAAAAAGTTAGTTACTAACACAAGCCAACAGCTTCCATTTTCCAGCCTCTTCTATTGGGCTACAAGTTTACTAGGCATATTACCTGCCTTCCATGCATCACTATGTTATCACAGGAGATCGTTTTGCCAAAAGTTTCACCCCTGTGAATATGAATCACCATCTTTGTGGCCTCTAATAATACTTCCTTTATTGTGTACTCCCTAACCCCTCAGTCAATGCCATCTATTTAAGGTTTTTGTTCTAGTAACAGCTCCCTTCTGACAATAATTTCTGTATCAGTCAAGGTTGGCTCAGTGTTGCTGCAGTAATAAACACCAAAATTTCAGTGGCTTGAAACAACAAAAGCTTAAGTATATTTTACTACATATACACTATGGGATGGCAGGGGAGCTCTGCTCACTGTAGTCCCTCAGGAACCCAGGCTGACTGTAGCCACTGTCTTGAATGTTCCTGGTTGCTGTAGCAGAGGAAATAAAGAGCTCTGAAAGGTCTTGCATTGACAAGCCTGAAAGTGACTCATATTACTTCTGCTCATAAATAATAGGCCAAAGTTAGTTACCTGACATTACTCAGCCACAAGGAAACCAGAAGAGTATTCTGGTTTCTCTCTTGTGCCCAGAATAGAAGACAAAAGGAAATGTTTGTTGAACACCATGAATACCCACCAAACAGGTAAACAAAAAAATAGTGAAAATATCTGTGATAAGTGAGGTGAAGAGGGAAAACTGGGCTGTTTGGTAGAATTGAGGGACCTATTTAAAGTGGGTGGTCTGGGAGTCCTCTCAGAAGTGGTAACATTTGCACTGAGACCTCAAAAATCAAAAGCAATGAGCTGGAATTAAAAGAACATTCTAGACAGTAAGCAATAAGCATAATAGCTCTCCAGTGGAATGAGCTTGGTTTTTCCTGAAATTGACAAAAGACCAGATCTATAGAATCAAAGAAGCAATGGGTTTGGGAGTGGGTGTCATGAGATAGGGGGGACCATCAGATCACAGAGGGTCTGGAAGGCCATAGCAAGTAACTGGGATTTTATCCTAAATGCAATAGGAAGCTGCTGAAAAGGGAAGACATGCACATTTGATTTATGTTTTTAAATGGTAACTCTGGCTATGTAGAGAATTACTTGGTAAAGGGTAAGAGTGAAAATGGGCAGACCAGCTAGCTGAGAGGCTACTATAGCAGGGCAGACAGAGATGACGGGGCTGATAAGGCTCGTGGTGAGGGCAGGGGTTAGTCACTAGTGAAGATGGCAAGAAGCAAACAATTTAATATATATTTTGAAGGTTTTACGGTGGATTGAATAAGAGAGAAAGATTAGGAAGGGTAGGAGTTATTTATGACTCCCATTGTCAAACATAAACAAAGCCGAACACTACTAGTTAAACTGATAAGGACAAGGTTTTATCCATAATAACTTGTTAAAATAAAAAACAAATAGAGACCAGCCTTGAAAATACACTGAGCAGACAAAACCAGTTTAGTTGTATAAACAAAGTTTAACTTAGCTTATTTCACAAAACTAACTTGATCTGGGTCATTTTTTGCTTACGCCTCTGAAAATCTTAAGCAAAACTTACGACTGTTTCCCAAGGTTGCTATGAGGTAACCACTGACCTATCATTTAAGAAATGCCCTATCATTCAAGAATCTGATATTGTAACCAATAACTGAAGGATAAACATTTACAGCTTTCTCACTATAGAAGCTGCTTTATAACAATATGCCCTTGAGCCTCATTCCATGTCTTGGTTTATGTGTTCTTGGTATGCAAACTGTCTTTTTGGTACATGCACAGTAAATTTTTACTAATAACTACTTGGGCGATTCATTGATTTTATTTTTGTTATTTCTGAACTTTTGAAAAATTATTGTTACAGGGAAAAAGAGTCCAACATGAACTGAACTCAACTTCAATTTGTACATAGATGAATGGGTGTTTTAAAGGGAGAGTGAAGGAGGGAGAGGGCCAGGGGAGGAGTGCCCATAGAATTAGGGAAATAGAAAATCCAAAAGGTTAGTCAGTGTCAGTGCAACTAGGCCAGCTGTGTCTGTTAGTTGGCAGCTGTCTAAATTAGGATTCTACAGAGTAGAATCTCCTACAGAGGTTGGGAGACAGAGGCCTTATCCTCAGGTATGGGCTGGAACAAACAGTAAAAAATGTTTGGGCAGCCTTTGAGTTTTCTCAAGTAGGCACTTCAAATGGGACTGGGATCATTTTAGGATGTGGTCTTGAGCTCTTAGGAACTATGTTAGCATTTGTTCAAATCTATACAGACCAAGGTTGAGCCTCGTTGAGAAGAGGAGCCTGATTAAAATCTGGTCAAGGAGAGAATCTTTGTCTCCTTGTTTCTGACAGGGTGATAAGTGGTGTCGTTAACAGAGAAGGGGAGGTCTAGGGGACATCTACCTTTAGAATCTAGAGGGACAAATCCCATTTTGGACATGCTAAGCTTGAGGCATTCAAATGGGTAAAAAGTTAAATCTAAGAATGGATCACATAGAAGTCTGCAGCAGAGATATAAATCAAGAGCTGTCAGCATGATGTAACTCAAAATATTACACAGGTGGGAGAGGGAGTTAGAGAAAAGATAAGGAATCCAGGATTTTCTTAACAAATTCTTCCTGGAGATTTGTTTCCGGAAATGCATCATTGTTAAGTATGTGTATTTGTATTTCTAATGGTCAGAAAGTAAACCTAACAGAGGAACGATCAAGTTAACTGTTAAATACTTGGGAGATTTTTCTTGTGATTGGAAACCTTTATTTGCTAATCATAAGAGAAAATTACATTTATTGAACATTATTGTCATACCCATTTAACATACATGGAAAACTGAACAGAGGGTTGAGTAACTTAAATAAGGTGACACAAAATTAGGAGTTGGGTCCTGTACTCAAAACTAAGCAATCCGGTTATGGAGGCTGAGTTCTGAACCCCTGTACTATATGGCAAGCATACTAAAGTAGCTTGGTTTATTTGTTTAGTGGGTCATGAGACAGGGACCAAGGGCTTAGACAGAGTAGGGTGAGGGCCTCTGGAAAAACACAAAGCAAGATAATCCATTGTGGGATTTGCTTTAGCCTGATGGGGGGTGGGGGCCAGCTCATTTTTCTGACTCTATCCAGGTGCTGCTTTTCTTTCTCCAGCCCTAAACAAATGATTTGCAACCTGGGCAACATAGCAAGCAAGCCCAAAACAACTAGTAAAAACAGGCCGGATGCCATCTTGAAAATTAGATTGCATCTTAAAACCGGATTAGTTGAAAAGTAAGTTTCTTAACAAACAGACAATAACTCAGCCCACCTTGGGAGCAAAGCAGGCAGTCTTGAGTGATATGCTCCCCGACCAGGAAGCTGCTATCCTGGGAGGAAATCAGAGCAGCAAAATTCTTGTAAATAACCAGGAAGACTAATAAGAAACTTGGCGTTTCTTCAAAGATAAACATTTTGGGACCACTTAGCAGGTATACATTCCTAGCCCTTTGTCTCTCAACTGCCTATAAAACCCCTAGACAAGGCACCACCTGGAGACTCTCTTGTCCCCTCCTGGCTAGAGCCAGGAGCTCGGTCTTTTCTCTTTCTAAATAAAAGCCTCTGACTTGCTCTCCTACCTTAAGTGTTTGGGAAGCTCATTCTTTGGCTCCCGAACAAGAACTCCGGCATCAATAATAATAGATTTTATATGCATAATAGTTCCAATAAGAATTTTTATGGGATCTATGTTCATGCATGCATGTCTAGATCATTATGGCCAAAGCACAAATCACCTGGTGGTGGTGCCGCAAGGTGTATTACAGCCAAACTCTAGTTAGAGTAGAACCGGTTTCACTAGAACGTTTCTGAAGCTTCAAACCATTAAAAACAAACGGACACAAAATTTTAAAACACAAATTGTACCAGTTAGATTTGCTATGCCCTATGGCAACTGAATTCCTAATTCTGGACACCATTTGCTGGTCAGGGAGGGAAGTAAAATTTTCCCCCACCACACGCTAGCTTTTCCCTCCACAGAGTATTACACACGGTATTGACACACTAAATTCGCATTGATTTTGTTAACTATTAAAGAATTCCCTGAGGCCAGAAACTATTTTTTTCCCCATCTTTTTTACTATATCCTCTGAGCCTAGCAGAGTCTGGCACGAAGTAGGGAGGCCAAAGGATGCTTGATAGTAGAGGAAGAGAAGGAGGAAGGGAGAAAGGAAGAGAGGAGAGAAGGAAGAAAAGAGAAGGGAAAGAATTCAAATATTCCTATTGGACACTTGTAGAAGGTGAGCAAGATGCCGCACAAGGTTGTTTAAAAAAAAAAACAAAAGGCTTTTTCACTGGTGGTGTGCGGAAACGTGATCCCATCTCTAAGCCAACTCGCCTCCACTCACGCTGGGCCCGTGCCAACCCTCCGGTGCGTTTCTCCCGCCGCCCCGTCGAGCCTACTCCACCCGCTAGCCTTTCGCCAGGCAGCCTAGCCACTGCGCCTGCACACGCGGGGCTCACGGCCGCTGGCCGTTCGGGGCGGGGCCCCGGCCGCGGCGCTCCGCCCAGGGGAAGAGGAAGAGGAAGTTGGGGGAGGGTCCTAGTTGGGAGTGAACCGGAAGTGTAAGCTATTCTGCTGCTCCTCGGCCAGGCGGAACCTGCTCTGCTGGGCCCGGCGGCCGCAAAAGAACTTTCTTTCTCCCGCCCCAACGGTCGCCGCGGCCAACTGCCTCGCCCGCCTGGCAGCCTACCCGTCTGCTCTTCTTTCTCCGGCTCCGTGCGGCCCTGTCTCGCTCTCGCCCCGCGGTATCCGCTTGCAGCTGCCGCCGCCTCGTCTTCCCGGCCAGCCGGCCCGTCCGCTGCAGTGATGTGCGACAAGGAGTTCATGTGGGCCCTGAAAAACGGAGACTTGGATGAGGTGAAAGACTACGTGGCCAAGGTAAGTGGCGACGGTGGAGTAGGCGAGAGCACGGAGGTGGGATGGAGCTGAGGCTGAGGAAACTGATAGGAGCTGAGCGGAGGGGGTGGGGGGAGAGAAACATCGTGGATGGAGGGGGCACCAGGAGAGCGGGGAGTCGGAGCGTCAGGACTGAGGAGGGGGCTGGACACCGCGGTGGCCTTCTGTGTCAGGTAACTGCTGGGTGGTGACAGTCAGGCTCTGCCTCCTGATCCCTTGGGGGAGGGAAGGGGTGGTAACCGGCTCTTTTAGAGTCCCTCGTGAGCACAAAGCATTTGAGTTTGGCTCTCTTCTACGCCAAAATTACTTAAATCTTTATTTGAATGAGATAATTCTCCGTCTTGGACCTGCCTATTACTGAATGGATTAGTCTAAGTGATTGGAATCAGAGGAACGTTTTCTTTAACTTTGGGCCTGCTATAAATCTATTCACTGACCGTGAAAAGGAGTGCCGAAAGTAGCAATAGTTACAATTCTGAAACTTGGTATCACTTCGCTGTGAAGTCTTAACTTTGAGTGTGGCCTTTTTCCTCTCCCCACAACAAATAACATATTTGCTTCAAGTGGTACAGTTGTCAGTTAGCATCCGGGAGTGCATAATATACTGAGTGGTTTTCAAACGAGTGTGTTAACTTTAGTTACTACATTTTCCTCCTTGATTCCATCTGAAATGCTTATTATATATGTGATAAACAACAACAAATGCAGTTTAGTTACAGTCTGTTTGGGGAAAATCATGATGAAGAAAGCTAATTTCAAACCTAAGCCTGAAATATAAAAATGAGCCCACATTGTGATAGAATGGTAAACTTAAAACTCCACTAACCTGCTTTTGGACCCTGACACTGCCTTTTAAAATTCTGAGAGAACTTTCATGTGATTTTAATATGATGATAATCTAAAAAGAAATATTCCAAAGTGTAACTTGATGACATAACCATGCAGGACATCTTGCTTCTGAAGAGCATAACTTTATATCATAACCATGGAGGGCATCTTGCTCACCTTCTAGAAGTGTGAGAACCAGATCTAGATTTTAGTTCTTTAAAGGCTATGACCACTGGCATGGTGCTGTGTTTTTGCTTCAGAGATCTGTTAGGAAGCAAGTAAGCAGAAGCAGTTTCTTCAAATTTGTATTGTGCAAGGCAAGCTGCTGAGTTTTTACCCTGTTTAATACCATTACAATTTTCAACTTTTTGCACGTAGATTATCTGCTTAGTTCTTATTTTTAGTGGATTTTCAGACACTGTACACTGCCTTCTCAGCTGGTAGCATTCTGAAATCTGACTTAAGGGATGCTTCACTGTAAGATTAAAGGGAAGAAATTACTTGGAACACTTCAATTTATAGTATACTTTCCAGTTGTAGGACACTGCAGTACCCTGGAAGTGAGTGGGCTTTTGTTTTTCTGTTGTAATAGAATGGAAACTAGGTTATTTGATATACTCGAAATACGGAAAGTTAGTTAAATACTGAGCTCACAGCTACAAAAATAACAATCTATTCAGTGTCTTCCCAATATGTTTTATATCAACCTTATGAGTCTTGTGAAGTAAGTCCTTTTATTAGTCCCATTTTACAGATAAGATTGCCAAGAGTACTGCAGAAAAAATTAAAAACTACAGAAATAACAGACGGTGAAGCCAGAACAAAACTGACTCCAAAACTTAGATTCTTTAAATGCTCCATTGCAGTCTCTCACAGTATAAAATTGTGAAAGCATGTAATACCAAGATTTCTAGTAGGACATTCTCGAAGTCCACATCCAGGCAGATAAATTATACACAGAGTTCTCAATCACACACACACAAAATTGATGTTAAAAAAATGTACTCACAACAATGTATTAATTTATTTTCAGTTAGTTTTACAACTAGTTTATTATGTTCAGTTTGGTTTTGATACTTCTCTATTACTACTATACTCTTAATCTTGTTAACAAAAAGGATGTGCATGAGAGAGAGGACATTCACAGAAAAGTAAAAGGAAGTATTAACTGGTTTATCCAAAAAAGTTTGACTGTAATGTAACCCTGTGAACAGACCACTGAGCTTTTTCCTTTCTTAATTTTTATTAAGTACCTTGAGTCTCTTAAAATATCTTTTGCTTTGTTATTGATGAAAAATAACAGAAACAAAATAAAACTAGCACTCGTTTTTACTGATTGAGCTTCCTTATTATTCCTATTCACACACCCAAATCTATAGTTTCTTCTTAGCAACCGTCTTCCCTGCTTGTTCGTTGACTCACCATTTTTGATCCACCAGTTTATTAACACTTGTTATTTTCTGAGTTTTTGTAGTATGCATTCATATGAGCGTATACAAAGAAAGTACATAAACATTTGGACTTAATCTAGTTTTCGTTCTAAGGGGTGAGAGTCTTTAAAATACTCTCCCCAGTTCTCCTGTGAAGATCTTCCACATTATTAATATGTAAGAATGGCCTGTAGGTGAAACATTTTAGTATCTTCTCTTTCTTAAGTTAGTATTGTAAAAATATCAGTAGGCGCACTTTTCTACCTGCTTCCAACTTCTGTACAGAAACCTGATGCTTGGATAGGCATAAATTGTTAGTTTTGGATGAGGTCTTGAACTCTGAAAAATCAGTTCACAGTTCCCACCACTGAAAATTGTATGTTTCTAAATTTGAAAAAAGCAGCATAAAAAGAAAAATTCAGATTACTCTGTATTTTGAAGGTTCATCTTTAACATTAAAACAGTATCTGAAACAGTTGGCTTCTTGACTGAACTAAAGACCGAATTTAGTTAATTCACCCATTTTTATTGGGCACCTTTTAGGTTCCAAGCACTTTGCTAGGCTTGGCATGATGGTAAAGAAATTGGATGTGATGCTCAGGAAACTTAAGTATCTATATTAGCAGACCTATATGAAAAGCTTTCATACTTTTAAAGTAGTATGCAAATTATGAGTAATATTTTACTTAGATAAAATTCAGTTTGTCCAATTAGAAAACAAGTGAAGGCCTGAAATGAAGATATTTGTGAGTAGCAGTAGTAGATACATGTAGCTGCATTTCCAATCTATATCCTTCCTCTGGTGACATTTCTGCTTTCATCCTCCATTTCTGCTTTCATCTTCCATTTCTGCCTTTATGTAAATTTCTCCCATTGGAATTAATCAGGCCTTTCCTGACTAATGGATATCTCTGTTCAGATCAATTCCAAATTCAGTCCACATTTTCTTCTCCGATTGTCTCTATTTCTGTTGTCTCCATTTTGACTAATAACATTTTGATCCACCCATTTGCCCAAATTAGAAACTGGGGTATTTCCCTGCATTTCTGACTCTTAAGGAGACTGGCTTCTTAGACTCTCATTCAGTCCTTTCTCTACATTCTTACTGCTACTATCCATTAGTTGCTGCTCCTCTCCTGCCTGAACTCTATTTTCTTTGACTATAGTATTCCCCTCTTTCCTGGTCAACTTGCTCTGCTTAACTGAGGGGATCTCTCTGTAATGTGAATCTGAGCATGTTACTTTTTCAACTAATCTCCTTCACTGCCCTTAAAAATTCTGTGATTTCCCCTTTACTTGTTTTTAAAAAGGCAACTTCTTTTGGTTTGGGTTTGGCCTGCTAGCCCGTATGACCTGGACCATGCCTGCCTTTCTAAACACTTCTCTGCCAGCGCTCTGCTCCAGAGCCTGCCATGCTGTTTCTTATCTATCTTCGCATGGGCCCTTTCATCCTCCTGGACCTGGTCTGCTCACCTCAGCCCCTAACCCCCAACATGGTGAGTTCCTATTAATCCTCTTAGCATAAATATCATTTCTTCCAAAAAACATTTTGACTTCAAATGGAGTGCTGCTGCTTTTACTGTTTCACTTATCATATTGCTGTGATTTTATTTGCATGTCTGTCTTTAATTAGGCTCCTTGCCTCTGGAGGATAGAAACTATTCTTTTCCATTTTTGTATCTCCAGTATAGTGCCAAGGAATTTTACACATTAAAAACATATGTTTCAAGTAAGAAATCCTTTTTATTCTTAACTTAGCTACAGTTTCAGCATCCTTATATAATAGTAATTACCATTGTCAGGATGACTTATATTGCTAGCTACTGGAAAACACCCTGCAAGATTTTACCTAAGTTTTCGTTTGCTTCTTAGCACAGCGTTTCAATATGGGTAATAGTGCTCCTGTTGTAAGGATGAGGAAATTGAAGCTTAGAGAAGTTAGACAATTTAACAAGGTTACAAAGTAAGTAGCACAACTGGATTTAAACTCAGAGCTGACCAAATCTACAGCCCATATTCTTTTCACCATATCAGTCTGCCTTGAAATGGTTATCTGGTTTCTTAGCTTACAGTAGCTTACTATCAGAACATTAGGAAAATGAGAAAAGGGCTTGCTAGAGGCAGGCACAACAAGTTATCTCTGCCTGTGAATAAAAACATAGAAAAACAGTTACAATTTAAATTTTTTTTTCAACTATTTGGAAATAATTAGCATGGAGACATCTATAAACCTTAAATCTCATCTGGGGCTGTCTTTGCTCAAGGTGTGTCTATAAAGACAGTTTGAAAGCTTATGATTTTTTTATACTTATAGTCACATGATCTTACAATTTGTATGTGTGATTATGATCTATATAATAAAGAAAAAGTTAAATTGTCTGTTTGCCTTAAGGAGAAACAAAGGTTAAAGTATTGAAAGTTCTGTTCAGAATGGTTTAAATTAAACAAATAAGCCTTTTTTTTCACTAAGTATGTTCTTAAAATATTTATATTTGAGCATTTTGATTCCATGTACAGGTGTGATTTCATTTACTTACTACATCAAACCATGAGCATACTTAATACTGTTGATCCAATTTTAGAGACATTAGAGATGAAGAGACTGAGACAAAAATAATTTGCCCAAGGCTGTAACACTGAGTAGTGAAAAACAGAGAATTTAAACTCAGACTCCAAAGCTCCTTACTGTTATACCTCATCGTACCATTGACCTTCGTTTCTCAG